ATCACTCCTTTGGAGCTGACGAAGAGGAGTTTGAGAAGTACCAATCTTCACAGTCGCACCTGGAATACTTGCAGAAGAGCTTAGGGCCTCTAAACAATGAAGATGCCAAGTTCGTCTTCATTGTCGAGGGCAAGGACAGTCCTGTGCTCTTAGCTGGCGGTGTGGTCTTTGGCAGTCTTGTAAGTTAATTAGGCTTGATGTTTCTTCACAAGAATGGCCATGTTGTCATCTGCAGCCGCCTCACAACATACAATTAATGTAAGCATGTGTGGCATACATTGCACCTACAATGCAGTGCAACCATGAACTGCTTGAAATTAATGTCTTTGCCTGCTGGATTATAGATTTTATGCTACTGCTAATAATATAATAATCATGTTTCTTTTCATACATGTCCACAACATTGAATAAGCACTGGTCGGTCCCTCCATATTCACCATGCAGGAAAACATCATGCACGCCACCGACAAGGTGTCCGTCTTCATTATGCACAGGGTGAACAACAGCAAGAAGACCTCCATGGTATTGCCCAGTGGTACCATTAAGGTTGGCAAGGAGCTAAAGAAGCACACGGTCGTAGAGCTTCCAGTGCAGAGCCTACTTGGCAGATTCAACAAGCAGCAGGTCAAGGAGTGGGCTTTCTCCCATGGCTGCACAAATGTTCTATGGAATGACTCCATGGTCCAGTACAAGGGCAAGCTGGCGTTGGTTGCTTAGACAGGTTCCTTGATGAGCAGGGATACAGAGAAAGTGGGCAGCTGCAGTCTAGGGCCATATATGTGGTTCAGTGGTGTGTAGTAGGTGTTCACTAGGAAAACAGGAAGCAGTGCAGTAGTAGTGTGGAACAGGTCACAGGTGAAGGTTGATGAAGAACATGTATGTATAATTGCATGCCAAGACAAGGTACTGATGTTGCTGTGATGATTTTGGTAGCAGCCTCCAGACTTGTAAAGAATAGAGACAATAGATGCCTGTACAGGTACAGGCCAGCTGGCTGTGCACTATACTGCACAATTCCACATGATGAGCAAGTGAGGTGACCAGGGCGACCCAGACTGTTGTGTATAATACATACTTATGGTTTAGG